AAGTCTTGAAACGGCCTTAAATGCACCATAGGAAATTTAGACTTTTCTCTGTTGTGATAAACAGTCATTATCATGATCATTATTATTACTTTTAACAAACTTATTACGATTTATTGACTGGATGAAGAATGAGTTGATGCAGAAAGAAACTGTAATCAGAAGAGCAATTAAAATAAAATGAAATGATCTGGAAGTCAACATTAAGAGCATGCACTAAAGTAGTGCTTCTCAAATTTGGTGCCTATCTTAATCACTGGTTGAGGTCACAAAGCCCACAGAGGCCCAGCCTTCTCAAAGTAGGATAGAGCCTGAGGTTTTTTACTTTTATCAAGTTCCTCAAGAAATTCTGAAACCCATACAAGTTTGAGGACCTCTGAAGTAAAGTTAAGACAGTGAGATATACTCTTGATCTGGCTCAATGATAAAAAGTAGAAGAACACAACAGAGACATATATTTTAACTATTAGGTTATTAGCTAATGTGGGGAGGTATAACTAGCCCTACAGCTTTATGACTGGCATGAAACTCACTTGTATTCTCCCCAGATTCTGTGTCTGGACTCTGCAAAATCTATCTCAGTTTGCCACTGAAAGTTAAAGTCAGCCTGGGCGCGGTGGCTCACGCCTGTAATCCCAGCACTTTGGGAGGCCGAGGCGGGCAGATTATAAGGTCAGGAGATCGAGGCCATCCTGGCTAACAGGGTGAAACTCCGTCTCTACTAAAAATACAAAAAATTAGCCGGGCGTGGTGGCGGGCACCTGTAGTCCCAGTTACTCGGGGGAGGCTGAGTCAGGAGGATGGTGTGAACCTGGGAGGCGGAGCTTGCAGTGAGCGGAGATAGCGCCACTGCGCTCCAGCCTGGGCGACAGAGAGAGACTCCGTCTCAAAAAAAAAAAAAAAAAAGCTAAAGCCAGAATTCCTCCTGACATGATATGTAACAGATTATAAAGGATTATAAAAGAACTTGGATATTCTAATTCCCAGTCTGTCTATGATAAAATTTATGACATTTTAGAATATATATATATATATATTTGGAATATTATATATATTCTAAAATATTTAGAATATCTATGTATATATATTTACCATAAATATCTATGTGTATATATTTATATGTGTTGTATGTGTGTATATATGTGTGTGTATATATACACATATATATATACATATATATATTTCTACATGCATTATTGCTGCATTGTCAACTTGATGTATCCGTAAAAGAACATATGTGAAATTCACTGTGGTGTTTTTGAGTTTGCTAGGGTAATATTTGCCTATTTCTTGCCAAATGTATTGTGATTCATGGAAGTTTAGCATTGCATCCAAACTCTGGATAATGTTAAATCTTGTGAACGTCTCAACTGTGAAAGTGTTTACTTATTAACTGAATTTTAAAAGGTACCACCCACATGCTAGCATGGTGCTAATATTTGCTGATCTTTGGTACTACTGAAATTTTGTTAATGTGCATTGCAGATTTAATATTAGTTTGACATCTGTTTGATGTCTGGTGAATGGTAGCATTCTTGCCATTTGGACTTTAATAGAAAATATAACATTGGGCAATTTTCAGGAGCAGGAATCAGAAAAGATCCAAATAATGCAGTGGTTCATTGTGTTACTATTCCTTAGTTTAATACTGCCACAGAATATAATATATTCTACATTTTTGAAATGTAAAGAAAATATTTCTTCATTTGTTGCAAATGAGAGATAACCTGTGATAGCAGATATGACTTCAGTTCTGATTCAGATACTGCTAACCAACTCTGGGACCTTGGGCTAAGTACTTAACCTTATTTGACTGTCAGTTTTTTCACCTTTAAAATGATGGGATGACTAGCCTGTAAATATTACCACTTGTTCTATCATTCTGTGATTCTAGGTTCTACGGACTGAACATCGCAATAGATGTTAATAAAAATATGATTTAATTTGAGAACATCTGTTATAATCTGTAACATATTCTGCCAAGTCCTTGACCTTAATTTTACTATAGACATCAGAGACTCTACCCTGCATTTTACCAAAGGAACATAAATTATGCTTGTGTCTAGAGTAGTGTCAAGCTGACTGAAAGATATGCCATATTTGTTAATATTATCATCAAATGATTTCTTAAGGTTTTATATACCACCAATGATATAGTTCAGTGCTATTTTAGCATTAGAAATTACATAAGCATCCTTTTTGCATTTTTATTTTTATACTTATTGCAAAATACAAGTGTTCTTGTTAAAGGCATTAGACTTTCTCAAAATAAATGTGGATTCAAAAATAATTCTGTAACATATATATTAACATATTAATTGATTAAATATGCTGCTGTTTCATTTCCCCTAATAAATATTTCCTTACTAATAACAGTAACTATTTCCATCATTTATCTAAAATTTGCTTTGTTGGATTAAACATTTTATTTTTATAATTTCTTACCTACAATAAAAGAGTTTGGGCTATAAAAATAATAAAGTTTCCCCAATTTTAATTTACTAGAATGGAGATACGTATACATCTCCTTGGTTTATAGTAAACCTGTGAAGAAATATATACATATTTCCATATATGATATAGAATTCTATATATCATATTATATAGAATTTTTGCAATCTATGATTTTACTATTTGTGAAGAATATAGATTTTTAAAAGCAAAAGTGTATGCCTCTATGGTTAATTATTAAGCAAAGGCAAATCTTTGACTTCAAAAGGAAGAATGGATAATAAACACGTAATTCATTAGACTCAGCACACTTCAGTGCTTTGTCTTTCTGAGTCAAAGTTTCCCAATACGTAGATGCTGGTGGGGAAAGGGCAGGGTAGTGATCACCTTGAGAGATATAGTGGATTATTTGAGATAACAGCAGAACAGCTCTTGCCCCATAGTTATCGGTTAGTGGACAATAACCACTATTTAATGATTAATTTAATATGCTGAATAAAGCTACAAAGAAGAAGATTCCCTGGGCTCATGCTGTTTTATGACTGTACGTTAGGAACATACACTTATTTTATGTTGTCTCAGGCTCTTTCCTTTAGTCAGACAAATGTCAATAAGCACATTGGGCTTCTTACTGCTGTCTTCCTGATCCTGTATTGTTGGTCAGAATTGGCCAGATATTTACAGAATTTGAGGTTCAAGTGTTGATTTTTTTTCTCCCAATATAATTTAGTATTTTAAAATTAGCTTTTTCATTGTAGCCTTTTAAATAGCCTTGTCCCTGATTTTCCCTAGAATCCATTGATTATTCCATAAAGAAAAATTCAGTATCATCAAGTATGTATCCTTATGAGAAATAAATAATTTTAATATTTTGCAAAAGAAATTCTAGAAAGCATAGTGGGGGTATGAATTAACTTCCTCTGATTGTTTTACCCCCCTATACCATGATCTTCTCTGGTCCCTTTATCCCAGTTTACTTCTAGTCCCAGCCTGTTTGTGCTGGGTGCCTTGCTTGTCTACTTGGGGTCTTCTGCTCCCACAGAGCTGCCTGTGGTGTTTGTGCTTGAGAAGTCCAGGCACCTCATGGAAAGGAGTGGAGAAAAGGGACAGAGAGAAGAGAAAAAAAATTCAATTTTCATTGTGCTTTGCAAAAGTACAAAATGTCCTTTTAAAGATAGCCTCTTACATATACTCACTATACTCGTTTGTGGACTGGCTAGGACAGGACTTACCATCTCCTTGGTAAAGACATTGGGACTTATAAGGGTTAAATAACTTGCTCAAGGTCATGCAATTTGGAAACATTGCAATCCAGTTAAAGCCTATATCTTCCAAATGAGCTCCAGGATTCTTTCCATTAGTTCATTCCAACATCTCTATTCTGGGACTATTATCGGTAGTGCCTGAACTTGTCTTTGGGAATTCCCGTCATTCATGCAAGGGTTTCATGAAGTACTTTGATTATGAAAAAAGGAGAAATCTTAAAACTTTACTATGATGACAACTAAGAATGTTAACAGCTAATATATTAAAATAAGATGTAAAGCTTTAGCGAAGATACGTATCCCCTCACTGTATCTTTTCAAAAGCAGAGTGATTAACACTGTCAGAAGCTTCCCCCATAGCAGACATGAGAAGAATAGTAGGAGTAGGTAGTTATGTTTCTGCCAGAATAGGCAAATTTTCTTCTGTGAATTCAGGAGAAAAGGATGAGATTGCTATGAGATCAATATTGGCTTATTTCATTTGCCAATATTTGCATAGTATCTACCAGTGGTAGGGAGCAGGGTAGTACAATGCCTTGAACATGTGCTCAGAACAATTAAATAAATTGGTTTTTATGTTGTCAGGTGAATGAGATCAAAGCATTCAGAAAATGCCCCTGGATTTCAAGAAAATCAATATTTCATAAGTATTGTTTATAGTTCATAATAGTTCAGATTAGTTGTTTTAGCAATAAATAAGCCAGCAGCATATTTTTTGAATTTTTTTCTTTTGTAGAGATGGTTCTAAGCCCCACATCACATTATAATCATTTAGAAATTTTAAAAAGTGAAATAAAACAGCAAATCCTATTTCAGACCAATTAAACCCCTCTCTGAGGGAGGCGCCTGGATATATATTTTTTAAAGCTCCCTAGGTGATTTGAGCCTGTGGCACAGTTGAGAAACAGTGGTTTGTAACATCAATGGTCTTGGGGAACCTACCAAGAAAGCTTCTTTTGGTCATGAAGTTTTATGTGCATCTACTTCAGGGTCAGTGATAATGTGCCCTTTCTTCTTTTTCACGGTAGCTCTATTCATAATCCCTCAGTTTTCTGAAGGGGATCTAAGGTAGACACACCAGCCTGCAGTGTGCCTTGCAATGGTAAGTGAAATGTAAGAAGAGTAACGTGAGAGCTGATTCAGGGTCCAAGTCCTGTACAGGCTTCTTATTGCTTGATGACAAGTTACTATGACTGTTTCTTGCTTTTTCCTTGTCTTGTTCCATCATTTTCTTTATCCTTTTTCTCATTTCCCATCTTACTTATTTCTTTGGGTTTCTCAGTTTTGTGTGTGTGTGTATGTGTGTGTGTGTGTGTGTGTGTTTCCACTTTCTTTTTTTGGAGAAAATATACTTGCTTGAGGATAAGGAAGGGAGTCTAAAACCAATGCTAATGGGCATCCATTGTAATACCAGCTGATTCTACCATGTTCACTTTAATTTTTGGTTCAATAATCATTTTTCAAATGGCTTAGATATTTGTATGATTCCCAGCTGTTCTAGATGATCACAGCACAACTTAGCTTTTGCTTTAAATGTCAAACATGAGGGATACTTGCAAAGTATTAATTGGTTAAATTTACTGGTTTTCAATAACTATTAATTCATTATCATTTTTTGTTATGGATAGTTAATCTACATTATTCTCAGTGAAGATCATATCCTATTAATTAATTTAGCTTTCTGAAAACATGATTGATCTGGAATTCCAGGGAAGAAAAAGTTAGAGATGTCTGATCATTTCAAAAGCCTTTCTTCCGTCTCCATTGTCCAAAACCAAAGCTATATTGGAGAACAAATTGTACAGTAAATGTTTACATGTTTTCCTTATGATCTAACATGTATTAATTTAAAACTCATGCACAAACATTATGCACTACAGATGATTAAAAATAAAGAGCCTAGAGAATAATGTGTGATCTTGCTTTCTTTAATGTATGTATTTGTGTCAATACCAGTGACTGAGTGGTATACAATTTCATTTTTCTTTAGTTCCACAGTAAACTCAAGATCATTTCTGGATGCTTCTCAGCTTTTCCAGCTCATGTTGAGCTATAGGTGGGGAGGGTAGAATGTTTCTGCTTCAACAGAAATTTTTCCCAATCCACACTGAATGAAATATCCATGTGTCTCATAGTTCATTAATCTTTATTCTGAGTTCTTGTTACAACTAGAATTTTTAGTTCCTCAGCACAGTTCAGCAAGTCTCATTTCTAATGAAATAACCTTTAACTAAATCCTCATTTCACTGTCTGTCAGGTAAAAGTTAAGAACACTAAGTTAGTCCTAGACTCTTCTCAAGGAGCCTTCAGACCATTGAGTGAGAAGGATATAAATGATCAATTTCACTGAAGCACAGTAAGTGCCTAATAACACAGAAAAGGGAAAGACACATGCTGCTTAGAGGAAGAATAAAAGAACACCCCCAAAATTACACATGATCTCAGCTTTGAAAGATAATTAGCAGTTAGCTAGGAAAAGAAAACGGTGACTGTATGCAAAGACACATTGGCATATTCAGAGATCATGTGGAATTCAGAGTGATTAGATCAGGACATTTATCGAGAAGTGGTGGGTGGAGGGAGGATTCTGAAAAATTTAATGAAAATCTGATCTTGAAAATTTTTATTCTCTGAGGACTTTGGACTTGATTCGGTCGGTAATAAGGAAGTAAACGGAAATTTAAAGCAGAAGTGATTTGTGAATATTTGTTTTTTATGAAGTTATTTCTAGCATAAGAGGATTAATTAGGAATCAGTAGCAGGTAAAGCAGTACAAAAAAAAGAGATATCCCTAGCCTTGGAGAGAAGATGGAGAAGAGGATTAATGCTTACCAGATGTTCATGAAATGTAATTGACAGGACTTGCTATTGGTTGGGCTTAAATTGTGAAGGGGTTTGCTTAGGAGGTTAACTTTGAAGTACCTGAAATCACTAGGGGTAACTAACAAATCACTATAAATTCATGCTTGGCATTTGAGAGAGAGTAGAAATAACATTGATATACTAAACAAAGTGCAGAGTGGTTAGAATGAAAAGATAAATTCACCAAAGGCAAAACTCCAACGGCAGGGTTTTCATTGTCAGATTGTAGAAGGTGCTATCTTTAGTAGAATTCTCCACTTTCCAAGTTTAGTAGGATTTCTACACATTCAGCTGAATGTGAACTATCTTATGACTCACCAATATAAATTATATTTTACATGCCCTTTGAATCTCTGAGAAAAGAATTGGCTTAATTGGTAGTTTATTATCCTTTTTTATTTTTAAAGACATTTAGGTATTAGAACAGTAGTGATATGTTTCTTCATAATAATAACAGTAGTGATTACTAATTACTTTGAAATGTTAACTAGAAGTACAATGCTAAGGGTTATATTTACAATTCTATAAAGTAAGAACAATTCCTAGCCTTATTTTATTACAGATGAAGAAAATGAAATTTGGAGAGTTCCATAACTAGGATTCAACTTTGGGTTTCATGTCTCCAAGATCCCATGCTCTACAGGAGCGGTTTTGAAATGTTACTGATGCCTTGATCCACCTCGAGATTTTGGCTTAATTGCCTTGAGTGAAACTCAGTCCTAAACGGTCCACTGATAGTTCTAATTACAGCCAGATATGCAAACCACCGTTTTAAACCTTATCATTTCACTACCTTCTGCTTTGGAAGATACCATCACAATCACAATCTCAATTGCTCCCCCTGGAGCTCAATGCAGATAGTGCACTATGGAGCTGCACAGTGTGGCAGCTGTGCCTAAACACAAATTCATCCTCTGGAAAACCCTCAAATCCAAGAGTTTTAATAAGTATAATTAATTTAAAGCCTTTCTTTATAGCAAAAAAAAGAGAGTCTGGAAAAATTTTCTAACTCATTAGGATTATGTGATAGTTTTAATCATATTGTTTTTATATTTATCAAGAAAAGATATAATCAATATATTTATTTGATTGAATTTAGGTATAACCAATAAAATAATCATAGATTGAGAATATTTTAATTTTTGAAATGGAGGGCAATGTCATGATGTGACTATTTGTGGCTATTTTGTTGGAGAACGATAGAAATGACACAACTGTGAAATGAGGGGGACTAGAATGAACTGCCGATCTCAAAACGTGCAGTTTTCTCATGGCTTTATTTACTTGTTTGAGGACTTCACAGAGCTCCTGACCAAGTAGAAGGGATGAAGAACCTATCCAAAAATAACAAAATCAAGGAAGAGGCAGGACAGTACTAGGCTGAAGGTCTAGATAGAATCAGCTCTGTTATGGCGCTGGGACGGTGCAGTGTGATCCTGGGTAGCAGGAGGAAACTTTTATGAATGAAGGCAGTGGGAATGGAAGGAGAACAATAAAAACACTTGTTCTTATGGAAAGAGAATGAGCATTGGAGATAGATTAGTCTACTCTCATACTTCACTAGCTGTGTGATCTCAGGTCAAATCATTAACAACTCTGAAGGTCAGTTTGCTTTTCTATAAAAAGAGGTGGTAATGAACTTATAAATGTGAAAGTACCCAACCCAGAACTTTGTTACTGATTTTTTTCTTCACATTGGCTTCAGCTGAAACATAGTGGTGGGAAAGCAGGAAACTCCAGAGAATGGCGAGGTGGTGGTGGTAAATCAAAGAGAAGGTGAAAATTAGGTGGGCTAGAGATGGAACAGTTTCAAGAACAGACACACATAATCAATTCCACTTGCTTGCAAAGGAAAAACCACCGCTGTAACGCAGCAGCCTCTTATCCATCCAGGGAAAATTCAGCTTGCCATGCTTTTGGCAGCATGGGCTGGATACTCTGTAGGGTCCCCTCACAAAGAGCACAGGCTACAGTCACTTCATTTTCTAATGCTGCTGCCTGAGTTTTCATTTAATTAACAAGGCTGACCTTTAGAATGAGAGTTTTTTTTTCTTCCTTTATCTTAGCTTTACTATGATCCTAATGGAAGCTGAAAATCCGACAGTAAAGAGGTCCAAGGTTTCACTGATAAGGCTAATGTGTTGTTTCTGTATTTACAGAAAAAAAAATTAATAGGCATAATTATAGATGCATATGCCAAAATCCCTTTCAGATAAATCTGACCTTAAGTAGGTGGGAACAGCAGGAAATGAAAGATAAGCCCTGGATAAGTATATATCAAAAAAGACATCCCATATACCAAAAAACTGAGGCCCTAACAACACATGTCCTTGTAATTAGCTGTATTAACAGCATATTAGAGTTAGATTCTTACTCAATCCTCTCAACCTCTGGATATGGTGAAGTACCTACTTTAAGCCTCTGTTGTGCACAGCGTCTGTGATGCTCTCTAGACAGAATGGCCAAATGAACCGGGGAGAAAGGGGAGAGTGACCCGCTATGGTGAATGCCATGGGGCCGCAGCCCTGCATGCTCTGTCTTTGCTCATGGTTGATGATGTTGTCCTTTGTCCTTTATACTATTAGCAAGCAGATGGTGGCCCTCAAGCACCAGCAGAGTCTAGAGAATAATGCGTCATTGGCTCTGCCCTGGATTTATCCACAAACTCCCATGAGCCAGTGTCTGCTTAGAGAGTTAGTAAGATCTGCCTTGATCCTAAGTATAAGAGCCATAACTGTTATGCTTGTGTTTTCTTCTTGAGTGCCCTTTTCTCTTTCTATTAGGGAATACTTTTTGTCGGCTCTTCAGGGAGACTGTTCACATGAATGGAATTCTAAATGGAGATTCTGTTTCTAAACTAGAGCTAACTCTGTTCCTGACTGTGTCTGCAGACTAAGGAGTGCCTCGTTGTCATTAAGTGCGTGGCTTCACACTAGGATCACTCATTCGGATGATGGTGAGGTTTTGTTTTTTTGTTTTTCGGTTTTTTTTTTTTTTTTTTTGATACTGAGGATAGCAGCGAGTCTTTTCCCAGCTTCGCCCCATTGGTAAGCAACCAGCTATCATTGGTTTATTGACAGATTAAACAAAATAATACCAGGACTATTATAACTACCCTTGGGTCCAGAGAAATGCTGAAGTTTGTGTTTCCCCCGCTGTGAGCACCTTTAATCCTGTACCCTGACAGCAACGAGCAAGTATTGAAGGCAGAGTAGCAGATATCAATTTCCTTCCCTTAAAGGTTTGCCAAACATCATTAAATACAAAATAGAGCAAATAAATAAGTCAGCTGTGACTGGAATCTTAGGGTGAACACTCCTAGGTAAGTTCTATGCCACATTATTATGTCCCCTAGTTTTCTCTGATAGTAGTAGTACAAATAGCAAATTAACTTTACTTTCCTGGGCATATTTCCACTGAATTAAAAGAGAATAGTTCTTATGTTGCTCATCTAGCAGCCTTGCTCCAGGTACCAACACTACTTTAAATGAAGAAAAGGTCAAAGAACAATGAGGCAGGAAGTACTGCTGCACTTACAGCATCTCCTGCTATCTTCCAGCAGTCTTCCCATCTTTGGATATTTTCAACCCATTATAAATGAGTTCACTGGAGGTCACATGATTTGCCACATACCTGAATGAACTGTAGAAAAGAAGTGCTATAAAATTCTTTTTGTGTGCCCATTGGTACTCACTCCTACACACACAAATACACACACACACACACACACACACACACACACAAATACATGTATATGCTCTTATTTTAACATAACCAAGATTTAAAAGCTGTTTGTCATCTTCAAGCTCTACTATATGATAGATTTCTTTTCAACTTAGCTCATTATATACCTTATGCAAAATTCAGGGCCAAACAGCAATTTTTATAGCATACTAGTCATTTATTCTAACAGCAGTGGTAGGAAAGAGTCCAACTATTTTAATTTGAGCTGGCATGGCATTTAAATGTGTTCTCATACAGGATAATAGCAGTCATTGCACATATCACAGTAGAAATAAAATTCTTCTATAAAGAGAATGCAAGGTGGAGGGTCATATGACCTTTACAAGGACCTGTGTAGAAAATCCTGTCCTAGCTTTGAATTCTATTTTTAGTAGGACAGATATTCTCTGACAAAAGGTTTTTTCCTCTTTCTTATTTTTTTCAGATATTAACAACATCTGCAATATTTCCTCCCATTGATGTTATCGTCCATATGGCAGATTTAACATCATGCCTGTCAGTTTTCTAAATCTTCCCAGGGAAAAGCAGTTTTGCACTCACCTCCTTATGTATCATTCTAGCTCTTATTTCTTTTTCCAGATAAAAGGCCTGTGAAGCTAAATGAAACTAGAAGCTAAAACTGTTATCCAGAGCTAGTGACACTGGACTCCTCTCCAGGGAACCAACTGCGTCTATTTAAAATAAACTTTCAGGTGAGCATTTGGGAAATCTTTACTGAATAGAAAGGCTCTTGATAGAATGCAGGAGTCTCTACAATAGAAGATTGACCTTGACTATGCAGGACAACTTTGAGGTTTTTGCAGCATTGTAAATGAGGGTCCAATGATCTAATATGGATATCCAGTAAAATACTTTCTTCAGTATCCATATAGTTGTCAAACTAACAATAGACAGGGGAGAGGAAAAACTGCTAATGAAGATTCCCTTTTTCTTCCTCGGTAATGGCTGCAAGTGAGCTTGAGCACATGTAGATGGGCACATAGCTAGGAAATCTAAGTCCAAAATAAAGTTTCTTTAATTAATTTCTAACAAATTATAAATATTAATTATTCATTTATAAAACACAAACATTCCATTTTCTATCTCCACTTTTTCCTATTTCTTCTTGCACTGAAATAAAAAGAAACGAAACTAGCTTCATCTCTTAACACGTGCCTGCTACTCTTGGAGTAGTGGGGAAAGAGAGAGAGAGAAGCAAAAACAGTTGTGTAATATGAATTGTGGCAATATGATGTGAGATCTAACTCAGGGTGTGGTGACAAGGAGAAAGAAAGGGGTGTGGTCAAAGGTAGACACAAATAAAAAAGGTCATAGGATGGAACGGAGCAGAAAATGTGGTGCTGGCTCTTTTTTCTAGCAAATCTGTATCAAATGATTGGCAGGTGCTGTCTGTAACTTTGTGTTATAAAGAGCCATAAACTGACTCATGGGCCTTACAGAGGCTAGAAGCATTTGTTTCCACAGCACTCAATTGGCATTGGCATTGGAGCACTGAGGTCATATTGTGTGGTGTGTTTGGCTGCCTATCTTCCTCAGTAGGCCACCAGAGTGAATGGTCTTTTACTTATTCATCTCTATTTTCTCAAAGCTAGCAAAGAATCTGGCACATAATAGTCACCCAAAAATGTTTGTTAAATGTTTATTTGGAACCTGAGTCAAAATGAATTGTAGTGTCTTGCCTTTGATAATAAGGATTTTGCATGAATGGACAAGGAATATGGGAAGAAATTATACTTCCTGTTCAATGTAAGGAAATAGAAATAAAACGCTTTAAAGAAAGCACAAGAATTTGCAGAAAGAGAGGAAACAAGGACACCCAGGAGAATAGAGACATCATTTCTTGAGAGTGCAATTTGAGAATAAACAGCTTCAAGGAGACAATGATAGAAGGGAGATCCTGGGAAACTCCTAACTGCTAGAAAATTTGAGGTGCATTTTACAAACGTGTGGCTCTCAATTGCAGAGGATAAAAACACCTGTTTAAATATCCACAGCTACATAGAATGACCATGCAAATAAGCTATAGTGCCATATAATAAATTGTTCTACACAAAAGTACTTAAATTTGAGTTTATTAAAAATACAGAAGATAGGGAAACACATGATCAGATCCCATAAGGAAAAAAGAAAACTTTTAATGTGAATCCCTTTAAAAGACAACTAAGTCAGTTGTTTAAAACAAATTTTTAAAAGTGGGAAAAAAAGGTGGAGGGGCCCTATTCTCAATTAAAGGATATTCAAAAGACATAACACATAGAATTTATTTCGATCCTCACTTGAATAAATCAGCTTCAAAAAGATATTTTTCAAAGAAAACAGGGAAATTTGAATATGGATTAGAAATGAAACAATGTCAAGGAATTATTGCTAATTTTTGTTGATTGTGATCATGGCACTGTAGTTATATAAGAAAATACTCCTCTATTTTAGAGAAACATACTGAAATACACCGGAGTGAAATGACATGATGTCTGATATTTTTAAATATTTCAGTCCAAAGAAGAAAGAACAAAATTTGAAAAAAAGAAAGATTGGGCAAGAGTAGCAAACCTAAATAATTATTATTACATCTAGGTGATGAATCTATGGTGTTTCTATATTCTTCTCTCTATTTTTTGTATGTCTTAATTTTTTAATTAAAAAAACCTTTAACATTATATATATTAACATATATTTTATGTTATAAATAAGTGCAGAGCCATTATGTTTTGTGCAATCTGTTTACCCCTGGATATAGACTATTTACTGTGAACTGACATCCTTAAAGTATATATTTATGATGTAAATTTAAGTTAATATGTACTCTTTTCTGAAATCTTCTTCAGACATAGGGACTACCAATAAAGTCAATTTTTTCTTATGCTAGTCAAATGAAAACCTGTAATTGTAAAAATTCAACTGTATGTTTCACAACTGACTGATGTGATAGAAGAAAAATAATACATTTGCTACTTCTGAGTGAAGTAAGAAGAGATATCTTTCTGAAGGGTCTTTCAATGTATCAAAAGGCCTGTTTGCCTCACTAGTGGCTCCTTGGGTTAATTTCTGAAAACAAACAAACAAAAACATACCTTTGTGACAGAAGTAAGAAAATGTATATTCTAGGAATGGTTAACATGGCAGTTGGTCTGAAATCCATTATCACAAATCACAGACGAAAAATTGAGAAAGCTATAACAGATCATGACAATTTTGACATTGGAGGTAGAAGCCATAGATTAAGGTAGGAAATAAGAGCTTTTGGAAGATGCTGAACACACCGTATTACCCAGAGTTTTCTGCTCTGGATGTCTAAGAGGTCACAGTAAGGCCTTGAACACAGGGAGTAAATCATTGAGGTAAAGGTGGTAGAGAACTTGGTTAGCTAGGATATAACTGTGGATGAAAGTCAAAATAAAATAAACTAAATTACATTTTTCACTCCCACTTCCCATCTTCCCTCTGAAAACATTTTTCATGAAAATATGTTTATATCAGAAAGTTAGAATTTGAAATAAAGGAAAATAGGGATTGTGACTCTTAGACATAGCTCTGCCTTTTTGCAAATAGGAGCTCAGTGGTTACACAGAAATGCATCCCTGAAAAGCAAAGTGGGCGCCCACGAAATTGTCATGGTTCCTCTTTCCTCTTGCCCCACTAGGGCTTTGAAGAGGGAGGACTTAATTGTTAAGAGGAAAACATGAAGATAAAAACTGAATGGCTTCTATGTGTAGACATTCTTTCATTCAGAAATATATTAATAATATTTAGGGTTCGAAAAATACAAAAGGAAACAAAATTATTTTTATTATGTTATAGAAATTGTTTGAAGGCTCATAAAATGGAGAGGTTTGAATTAGATACCTACAGTTTTTATAATGTATGTTTAGTTATGCATGGGAGAGTGGGTGGAGGTGGATATAAGGAGAGTGTCTAGAAAGGGAAAATTGAAATTGGATCCACATATTTTAAATTGCAGTGCCATATCTTTAACCACTTCTGTTTTTTCTTCCAATTGTGTCAGTATTTATGTATTTGCTTCTATGTATATTCAGTACAATTTTAAAGCAATTTTGCTATTTTATCTCCTTTCCATATTAAAAAAAATCCCTTCATTTCCTGAAACACAGATTTGAATGAACATGAAACTATAATAAATCATTATTTGGATTTTTCTAATATAAAAATATTTTAATTTGCTCATTTAAACATTTTTATTTCTTTGCTTTTAAGAAGTTTTATTTCCTTCATTATATAACACTGCTTTCATTGCCTTCTTTTAAATGATGAAGTTATAAAGCTTTCATTTTGGTTCGGAAAATCACAGCTCTACTGAAAGCAATCCAAACCATATTACCTTAGTATAACCAATTTAACCTTTTAACATTATAGACCAAAGGAGACCAAATGCCAGAACGAATTCTTCATTTTCTGGAGAGAAGTTGATGGCATGCCTTCTTACTATGTACTCAGGATAGAAAAAGATGACTAATACAATATTCTTGACTGATTTTAGATCATGAGTTTTATTAACAGGATAAAGGTGTACTAAGTTCTGCCTACATTAACAGACCTGAATTTGGTGTCATAAAACATATTAAGGGAATAGCCAATGGTCTTTGCCTAAAGCAGTTGTTCATTTGAGAAAAGAAAATCCGTTTGTATGGAATGTAACACAAAGCACTGTCAACAATAATAATAAGGCAGTCCAGTTTTTAGGTACAGGGTGGGAAAGTTCTATGTTGTGTCTGAAATGGTCAGGCAAGAAGTAGACTTGAGCTGTATCAGTAAGAAAAGATAAGTTTTGTATAGCTGTCCTGAATAACATTTTAGGCTGAAAGAATACTATGAATATGGACAGGGTAATAAGAATGTGGATGACAGGTTTGGAAGGCTGCTTCAGTTAGTAACCTTGGAGCAGAGGATTCAAGTACATGAATGTAGGGGAAGAGAGCAGGGTATTGGAACATTGGAAAGAGGCAGTGACCGACTGTGGAAGGTGGACATTGAACTTTATTCTATAGATAGTGCTGGGCCTCTAAGGGCTCTACAGAAACAATTCCAGTCCACTGCTTGCCTGACCATTTTAGACACAACATAGGACTTGCTGCCCTGTGCCTAAAATTGGTTTATGTGAAGCAGTTTTCATAAATACTAATCTGGCAATATTTTTCAGATTGCTTTGGAAAGGGAAGAAAAACTCAGTGAGGAAAGGATTCAATAATCCAAGCATAATAGATACAAACCAAAAATAGTATAGCAAAGTAGAAAAGATAACAATTCTAAACTGTGATTTTGAATTTTCAGTTCAAGATAAAACAAATAGCTACCTTATGAGCTTTGTCAGCTGTTTTTAAAGATAGCATCCTTCTTTTCTTCCTACCAGTTTCCTGTTTATATTCTGACCTGATAGTCTGATAGAGAATGTATTTTGGGATTTTTCTCTCTGCCTTTCATCCTTATTACAAAGCACTGTCCCAGTGATGTTTGTGATGCCCATAAAACTCTTAGCCAAACTGAGGACAAAGAATCTGATTCAGATAATGAAAAATAGACCTGTCTATCTGAATGTGACAAAGCATTCCATTTTTAGTGGTCTTTGAACCTATTGGGAAACCCATATTATAATTTATTTCCAAAAGATTGGAAGTTCAAGAGTTCTAAAGTCAGACTACCTGTGTTCAATGTCAGATTTACCCTATTTTATTCTAACACTGGAATGATAAAAATACATTATGAACATTATATAAGATAGCATATTCTTCACATAGTGACATGCACATATTGAGTACTCAATAAGTTTCAGGAATTACTAACTTTCAGAAATTTATTTTTGTTTACTTTTATGTAGTTATTTTGCTTTGTATATAAGTGCAGCTACAGTTCATGATGATTATATAATGATTGATGACCATATTCAGTTTGGGTTTATAAATTATTTTTAAGTAGATATTTTAGTTTCTGCAGTATCATAACTTCTTAATACCACTTTATATTGATGTCATGTTCCTAGACTATGTACTGATGTTCATGCAGATTAACCACAGGATATAGAGGAATACTATTTGATTCCATTTAGGAAGCATTCATTGAAAACTATGTACTATTTTAAGTATATATGTCATGGTCCCTGACTTCAAGGGGCTTGTAGGTAAGTAAACAGACACACATGTAAATAATAATTACAGTATAGTGCACAAGTTCACAGTAAGTGTAGACATAAGGCTAGGATTAGCACAACTAACTGTCTTAGGGAAAGGAGATGACTTTGCAAAGGAAGAGACATATGAACTATGCTTTTTAGCTATTCATCTATTGCATTTCAGGATTATATTTGTGCAATAGGGTATAATGGGGTGAAAGTTAAAGAGGAAGGACAATTGTAAAACGTGAATCAGAACACTGTTTGCAAAGTACTGAAGCATAAATCCATTGCCAAGGCAATAAGCAGAATATGACTTCAAGTTGAGGAGCAAGATATACACCAGTGCTGTCCCATAGAAATAAAATGCTAGCCACATACGAAACTTTAAATTTCCTAGTAGTTATGTTTTTAAAAAAGCAAAAATAATTGGATTAATTTTTATATTTTATTTAATGCAATGTATCTAAAATATTACCATTTCAACATGTAATTCATATAAATAATATTCATGAGAATTTGTATCTTCTTTTTTCATATTAAGTCTCAAAAATTCAGTATGTATGCTACGTTTACAGCACATCTCAATTTTAAGTGCTCAGTAGCTACATAAGGTTAGTGGTCACTGTGTTGGACAGTACAGGGCAGATTCAGACCATGAAGAGCTTGAACATTCTATTAAGGAATTTAGACTATATCCTATCAAGTTTTGATAATATGTGAAGTGTATTCATCTGATGAATGTCAGCATTATATTTTCTCTCTAAGGCATTGAGGATGTTCATGGGTAGCAAAAATATTTAACCAAGAGATATAGGAATATTTGTATTCTGCTGTTGAACAATCACCTCTCCTCAGGAGGTCTTTAAGGAAGGAAAGGAAGAGAAAGCCATCCTTAATGACTAGACGGAATTTTCACCCAATTCCCCTGGAGCATTCCAAGGAGCTACATTGGACCCCATGAAGAATGCCATTACCAAAGCCAAATCATTCTGAATGGTCTAGAAGCAAAGCAGCCTCAAGGACCACTTTAGATTTCCTTCCAAAGCTCAAACTTAGAGCCCATTACTCTACAATGAGAAGAGGGATGAGAGCATAAAGTAACAAGAGAAACTGAAGGAAAGATTGATGTCTAAGAGGGTTGGTATTGGGGAGGGGGAGTGAGCAATTTTATTGTTAAGTACCTAGGCTTTTGGTAGAAAACTTCTTAAATAAAAAATACTAATATCTTAAGTGAAAAAGATACCAGAGACCCTCCAGTATCTTACCACTTAACCCATATGACTCAGGACACTCAACTCTTTGTTCCTACTGTTTTAAAGAACTACACCTTATATTTGTTAGCTTGGCACCTGGAACAGTGGCTTCAAGTACAAGTATAATGACCAACAACTCTTGTAAAATTAGAACACTGCCTTCTCTCACATCGATGGAATGACCTGACCCATTCTTGGGAAGAAGTAATGAGACCCACATAAAAGATGTTTAAACTTCAACCTAGAGGACGATGTAAGTTTCCAGATGCTTCTCTAAATTTTCAAAGAATTGGAGAGCATTTATTGGTTTCCATGGATGACAGAAGCATTTTTTTAAAAATTTTGCTTTACAAATTATGTAAATTTTTACAAATTGTACAAATTCTGTTTTGCATGCAATAGTTCTAGTTCATGCCCTCCCTACCCCCAGCATCCTGTTTAATTCTGCATTTATCACATTTTAAAAAGCGAAAACTACATTGTTAGTACTGGTTACATTAAAATACATCAGAATGGATTTATTCTTGCATTTTGTACTTCTAGCTTCTGTCATAGTCTTACCTATTAGCATGTTTGAGGTGCATATACCATGAATCCAGTTCTCACTCTATAGGACTCTACAGAATATAACTCCTTAAGTCTTAAAGAAAATGAATGATAAACCCAACTTTCCTATCCCAACCCTTTCCAGAATTGAACACACATCTCTTTTTTAGGTATTAGTCAGCAGGTACTTGTTGATGAAACAGTGTGTATTGACAGGGAAAGCTAGGGAGTACTATATCTTTCTGGTTTTAGTTTGTATTAGAAAACGTGGGCAATTCTGCTGCTTCTGCCAGGCACTTAGTGCTAGAGCCAGTTGTGCCATGGCCTACGTTGCTGGTTTCAAAAGCATGAAGCCTCCGGACCACCAGTTAGTAAGTCATTGGAAAATGTGGGAGATTCTAGATTACTTATATCTGAAATACGTATAGGAAACAGAGGTTAGGTAGTTCTGCCACACGGTTTATAGAGAAAAGTCTGAAATCTCTTATTATGATAGTTTTGTGCTATAAATCTACAATATTTACTTGTCTTTTTGAAAGATATCCTTTAAGCAGCAATGAGTTCAAAAAGGAAAGTGCATGTACAATAAAATATAAATACTACATTTCAATTTCTCAAGAAAATTGATAATGATTGTAAATTGAATAAACTCTTTGTCAACTTTTATCATTTTTCATGGGGGTTGTGGTAATGTCATTGTAAACATGAAATACAAGACAAAAAGCTGCTTAAGAAGCATTTGCATCTATTTCAAAAGCTAATAATCATTTTCAGAACACTGTAGAAAATAATAATAATTTAACACATGGGGCTGCAGAAAGTGCATTTTCACACCATTGCATATAACTTTTTATTTATATAAAAACATTGTTCTTTATAAATTTCATTGATTTTTAATTTCAAATTTTCATATGCATGTATGAAAAGTGTTAGAATGTTGCCTCCATTAGCAGAACTTGGCAGAGTTACATTATGTCAGTATTTTATCAGTGTCATCTGATTCCAAATAGAAAATTAATTAATTCCAATAATAAATTAATTTTTAATCCAATTTATAAAATCATAGTAATGCTTTGGAAGTTAATTTAGTAAAAGATGAAATGTTTGACAATTATTTTAGATAAAATTGTTAATTTTTGAAAACAAAACTTCTAAACTGTGGCTGAATTTGTTTTGAAATTAATTGATGACATTTAAGCAAAGGATTCAATGAAGAGCATGTGCCAAATTTATTTTTTTGCTTAGAGTCTTGGTTTCTCTTTTTCCTTTACTAAATAGAATGGTATTTGCATAGAACATCTAATTGCTAACTAAAATATATTAAGTCATCTATAAAACAAATTAAACTGGTTTTCAAATCAATATCTGGTAGAGTGTTCTTTTCAAACAAAGGTTAATTCAAGATTCACAAATTTCACCAACACAATATATTTGATAAGCACAAAATATTTATAAGCACAAAAGAGCCTCTGAATATAGCACAAAAATTTATTTCTAAAGGTATGAATTTTAAAAAAGTCTTCTATAATTTATATGATTACCTACCTAAAAGAGTTTATTTTAAACAAAGTTTAAAAACCAAGACTGGCCAGACGCGGTGACTCACGCCTGTAATCCCAGCACTTTGGGAGGCCGAGGTGGGTGGATCACAAGGTCAGGAGATCAAGACCATCCTGGCCAACAGAGTGAAACCCTGTCTCTACTAAAAATACAAAAAATTAGCTGGGCATGGTGGCGCATGCCTGTAATCCCAGCTACTCCAGAGGCTGAGGCAGGAGAATCACCTGAACCAGGGAGTCAGAGGTTGCAGTGAACCCAGATGGCGCCACTGCACTCCAGCCTGGTGACAGAGCAAGACTCTGTCTCAAAAAACAAAAACAAAAACAAAACCGAACCAAAACAAAACAAAACAAAAAAACACTAACACTAAATGTTTTATTTTGATATCTTTGATACAGGTATCATAACTTTCTATTTATCAGCAATATTATTTCAGAAAAATAAAAGTATTTTAAAACATACTATATTTCTAGTAACAATAAAAATCAATATTATTTGAATTAGAGGGGCCTTAAAAAGATATGTATTTGGGCCGGGCGCGGTGGCTCAAGCCTGTAATCCCAGCACTTTGGGAGGCCGAGACAGGCGGATCACGAGGTCAGGAGATCGAGACCATCCTGGCTAACACAGTGAAACCCCGTCTCTACTAAAAAATACAAAAAACTAGCCAGGCGTGGTGGCAGGCGCCTGTAGTCCCAGCTACTCAGGAGGCTGAGGCAGAAGAATGGTGTGAACCTGGCAGGCGGAGCTTGCAATGAGCTGAGATCCAGCCACTGCACTCCAGCCTGGGCGACAGAGCGAGACTCCGTCTCAAAAAAAAAAAAAAAAAAAAAAAATATATATATATGTATTGTTGTATATAGTAAAAACTGCTGAAACATTTTTAAGATTACAAAAGAAGAAAATAAGAATAAACACACCTTATTACAAAACAAAATAACTGGATATCTGAGATGTCAGTAAGTTATTATAGATTATTACAATAAGTTATAATAAGTTTTTATAGCTTAAGATTCGGTAGGTATCTGGATGGTTGTTTGCATGTTTGGTGGTACTTCATAGAATATTCTACAATTCATCTAATGAGTAAAGCCATCAAATACTCTTAGGAAAAAATATTTAATGGGGTAAAACTGCTCTTATTTTTTGTTAAAATAAGATAAAATGAAGACTTAATGAATAAAAACAATATTGTTTTACTTAGGTAATTGACAGAAAGCTGTATCATAAGGGGAATTATACAAATTATTATTAGTAAAGAATGGATTATTATTAACATTGCATCATAAAAACAGTGAAAAAAGATTACTTAGAAACTGGTATTTAATTAATTGGCTATTTTGGAAAAAATCTTTAACTATTTTTCCTTCGCTATGCATAGCAACATAACTTTCAGATGTATTGAAGTTCTAATATTTAGAGACTTGAGCATCCCTGGATTTTGATATCCACTGGGGTCCTGGAATGTATCCCTTGTAGATACCAATGGGACAACTGAACAAGCAAGAGCTAAATCTAACAAATAGCGTATCAAATAAAAGTAGCCAAAGAACAATATATACTGTGTAAGTCAATTTATATTAAATTCAAATCAAAGAAAATAAAACTGTGGTATCAGAAATAAGGATAGTTATTCACAACTTTTTAAAAATCTCAATGCTGAGTCTATGGGTATGTTCCATTTAAGAAAATCCATCAAGCTGTGCAAATCTGATTCCTATATTTGGAATGTTATCCCAGTTACATTAAGTTGATATTTTCACTGCTAATGAAATATGAGCTTTTTCATATGTTATTACATATTCTTGGAAGCACCGTTTCAGTTGCTTCAAATGTTATAGAGGCATACCTGGTTTTACTGTGCTTCACTTTATTTCATTTGGCAGGTACACTTTTTACAAGTTAAAAGATTGTAGCAGTTCTGCATTGAACAAGTCTATTGATGCCATTTTTTTCCAACAGCATTCGCTCACTTCATGTCTCTGTGTCACATTTTGGTTAGTCTTACAGTATTTCAAACTTTTCATTATTATATCTGTTATGGTGATTGGTTATCAGTGATCTTTAATGCCACTACTGTAATTGTTTCGGGGCTCCACAAACAACACCTGTCTAATATGGCTGAACTTAATCGATGAGTGTTTTGTATATTCTGACTGCTCTACCAATTGACCATTCCTGTCTCGTCTCTCTTCCTCTCTTTGGGCCTCCCCATTCCCTGAGAACAACAATATTAAAATTGGGTCAATTAATAACCCTAAAATGGCTTCTAAGTATTCAAGTAAAAGGAAGAGCAGCATGTCTTTCACTTAAATACAAAGCTAGAAATGATTAAGCTTAGTGAGGAAGCCATGTCAAAAGTTGAAGTAGTCTGACAGGTAGTCATCTTGGATCAAACAGTCATGTTGTTAATTCAAAAGAAAAGTTCTTGATAAAAATTGAACTTACTATTCCAGTGAACACACAAATAATAACAAAGGGAAACAAATTTATTGCTGATAGGAAGAAAGTTTTAGTGGCTGGATAGAAGATCCAACCAGCCACAATATTCTCTTAAAGTAAAACCTAATCCAGAGTCAGACTTTAACTCTCTTCAATTCCATGAAGGCTGAGAGAGGTGAGGAAGCTGCAGAGAAGAGTCTGACAACAGTAGAGCTTGGTTCATGAGGTTCAAGAAGAGAAGCCATCTCATAACATGAATGCAAGGTGAAGCAGCAAGTGCTGATGTAGAAGCTGCAGCAAGTTATCCAGAAGATTTAGCTGAGATAATTGATGAAGGTGGCCACCCTAAACAACAGATTTGCAATGTAGATAAAATGGTCCTATATTGGAGCCATCTGGGACTTTTATAGTTAGAGAGAAGTCAATTCCTGGCTTTCAAACCTCAAATGACCGGCTGACTCTTTTGTTAGTGGCTAATGTAGCTGGTAACTAATCTGAGGCCAATGCTCATTTACCATTCCAGAAATTCTAGAACCCTAAAGATTATGCTAATTCTACTCTATACTGCTCTATAAATGGGGAGAAAAAAAGCCTGATGACAGTACATCTGTTCACAACACGGTTTACTGAATATATTAAGCCCACTGATGAGACCTAACGCTCAGGAAAAAAAAAAAAAAAAAGATTCCTTTTAAATTATCACTACTCATTTGAACAATGGACCTGGTCACTCAAAAGCTCTGATGGAGATGTACAATGAGATTAATGTTGTTTTTAGGTCTGCTAACACAACATCCGTTCTTCAGCCCATATATCAAGAAGTAACTTCGACTTTCAAGTCTTATTATTTCAGAAATACAGTGATTCCTCTGAAGGATATGGGCAAAGTAAACTGAGAACCTTCTGGTAAGGATTTATCATCCCAGATGCCATTAGGAACAGTCATAACTCATGGGAGGTGGTCAAAACATCCACATTAACAGGAGTTTGGAAAAAGTTGATTGCAACTTTCATGGATGACTGAGAGGTTCAAGACTTCAGTCGAAGAAGCAGCTGAAGATGTAGAAATAGCAAGATGACTAGATTAGAAGTGTAGCCTGAAGACGTGACTGAATTGCTGCAATATCATAAAACTTGAACAGAGGAAGATTTGGTTCTTATGAATGAGCAAAGAAAGTACTTTTTTTTTTTTGAGGTAGAATCTACTATTGGTGAAGAGACTATGAGCATTGTTGAAATGACAACAAAGGATTTAGAATATCAACTTAGATAAAGCAATGGTGGGTTTGAGAGGATTGACTCTAATTTTGAAAGAAATTCTATGGGTAAAATAATATCAGACAACATCCCATGTTACTGACAAATTTTTCATGAAGAAAAGAGCTAATCAATGCAGAGAATTTTATCATCTTATTTTGGGATACCTCCACAGCTATGCTGACCTTCAGCAACCACCACCCTGATCAGTCAGTGGCAATCAATGCGAAGGCAAGAACCTCCACCAGCAAAAAGATTATGATTCACTGAAGGTTCAAATGATTATTAGCATTTTTAGCTATAAAGTATTTTTTAAATTAAGGTACATATATTTTTAGATATAATGCTTTTGCACATTTAATAGACTATACCATAGGGTAAACATAACTTTTATATGCACTGGAAAACCAGAAAATTTGTATGACTCACTTTTTTGCAAAACTGTTTTATTGTGATGGCCTGGAATTGAACATTCAGTATTTCTGGGCTATACCTGTGCATACATCTTCATG